GCAAGATCTGGAGTTTAGAAGGATTGCCGTGCAATGATCACACCAGCCAGCATTGTGCATCCTTGTGCTGCCAGGGATTATCAGATCTGTGGCTTCTGGTGCTCTAGGAAATGTGAGGTCTTTATCTCTGGGTATGTAGGTAGCGTTGTCTCACCTCTTCCACCATCTGATGGGGAGCCTTCAGTCCTAGTGAAGAGAGTTTTGTAAGACATAATAGTAATCCTAAAATATGGTAGAAATATGTTGAAAATTATAGGCTGAGGTCAGTTAGGGATGGAAAGCAAGGTTGGTCAGCAGGGTTGAGAAAGCTTTAGGTTGTGACATTGAATATTGTAACTTAAGTGGTTTAGTTCCATGGGCAGAGGACATTTTGGGGAGAGATGTTGGCAAAGCATTTTTTCTGGTGAGCAGAAACAATTGGATCTACATGAGTGAATAGAATAACGGTCTCCTTCAAACACAGGGCACAGAGGGGCTCCCAGACATCACAATCAGTGGCAGGCAGCACTGCACTAGGCTCAGTGTGTAGAACTTAGCTGGCTGGCTGGAGCTTACCTGCTGCTGTTTGCCTTATCTCAGGCCCATTGAATTGCAGCAGCTAAATATAGCATTGTGTTAGCATCTGGAATAGAGATCTGTGCAGAAATGTTTGACCTGTGCAATGATTGTGGTGCTTTCCTTAAGGTTTAACTTCATTTTCTGAAAAGACATGAAGCCCAAGCATCACCAGGCATGGTCTGGTGATGTTGTATAAGGTTTGTGTTTGGGCAGTGGCATAACCTGTATTCACATCTGTGTGTTTCCAAAATGTGATATGCTTGCTACACTCGTCTCCTTAGACACCTCTGCTCTGCACAGACAGCATAGGATAAAGTGCAAAATCTTCATTCTGTCATCTAGAAAACTTGTTCCAGATAGATCACTGTTCCCTCAAATGTCTCTGCTTGGCGCCACTGACCAGTTAAGTAACTGGTACAGAATTCTTGTTGATTCAGGCTCCCAGTCAGCCAGGCATTCCAGGCAGTGCCAGCTAGAACTGTGCCCGTGGATCTTCACAGGCTGTCAGCATGAGCATCTCCATTACATCCTTTAAATAAACTTGGATGCTTGGAACTGAAAGTTCCATTACCGACAGGTTTTGATGTGATTTTGTTTAGTTCTCAATTCCTCTGCATATCAGGATATACTGAGTGCCTTAAATGCATTTCTGTGCCTGGGTTTAGGCTTCTGGACCAGAATTTTGCAGCTGATAGGGAGAAATTTTACTGAGAGCCATAGAGGTTAGTCCACCCCAAGCACAGAGAGTGACCAGCAGATGGACACCAGTGTGAGCCAGCACATGTTGAGCACAGGCAGATGTACAGGAAACCAGTGTTTCCTGCTGCTTCCTCCTCTTCAGGGAAGCTGATCTTGACCTGGGTAATCGCACAGCTCCTTTGCACCTTAAGGACAAGCTCTATGCATGTATTGCTCCTTATCACATCAGACCAAGGTTATAAGAATGTCTTTTTCAGTCTCTTCTTCACAGACCCCTTCTTTGTGCCATGTCAGGAGATGAACAAAATGTCCCAGGTAAGGTAGCCCACACTGATGCAGTGCAGCTTGCAAACCCGAGATGGTTTTGCATTTTAAAACACTCTATGTGATAAACTGCAGCTGTTGGCCACTGTGCTTAGGATTTGGGTTTTCCCATTTTATGGGTGCAGAATTACATGTATGTGTGGCATCATGTCATGCTGTGGGATAGAAACCCCCATCGTGAATTGCTGTCTCTTTTCTCTTGCAGAAGTTCCATGGATTTGGACTGAAATAAAGTTTTGGGATGTCTCTATTTGGATTAAAATTTGGAAAGAAGAAACTGAGAGGTGAGTGCAGTCTGGTAAAGCCATTGTTAACTGGTGACAAAGTAAGGAATGTAAATATAACACAAGTGTGAGCCCTTGAGGTTGTGTCTGGGACCATGTCTTACACCTGCAGAGCAGGCAAGCAAAGAAACCATTTACTTTTCCTGCATTTCATACTACCTTGATGAGTGTGTGGACTGTGTGCTAGTGAACGGGGGCACATGCTGTGTCATGGCACATAACTGGCTTGGGGATGTTGTGCTTTGGTGTTTCTCCTATGAAGATCTTTTTCGAGAGTCATGGGTGAGCAGTGCATACTGCCCTCTCCCAAGCAGTTTATAAAATATGCTAGAAGCAAGTTAGTGTGAAGGTCCAATGCAGCCTTTTGATGATGAAAGGCATTGATGTACTCCACAAACTGCATCAAGTTCTGGGCCCCTCACTACAAGAGAGACATTGAGGTGCTGGAGCAGGTCCAGAGAAAGGCAAAAGAGCTGGTGGAGGGTCTGGAGCACAAGTGTGATGGGGACCAGCTGAAGGACCTGGGGGGTTTAGTCTGGAGAAGAGAAGGCTCAAGGGGGACCTTATCACTCTCTACAGCTGCCTGAAAGGGAATGCAGTGAGGTGGGGGTCAGTCTCTTCTCCCAGATAACAAGTTGTAGGACAAGAGAAAATGGCCTCAAGTTGCATAAGGGTGGGTTTAGATTGGATATTAGGAAAAAAAGTCTTCACTGAACAGGTTGTGAAGCACTGGAACAGGTTGTCCAGGGAAGTGGTGGAGTCACCATCCCTGGAGGTATTTAAAAGACATGTAGATGTGGTGCTTAGGGACATGGTTTAGTGGTTTTCTTGTCAGTGCTAATAATTTCTCTGTGTGTGGTGCATATGACATCCAGATAAACGGGTGTGAAGGTAGGAGCAGTCATTCTCTGCAGCACAATCTCACTTTTCAGCAGAAATCCCTGAAAAGGTGAACACCTGGAGGAAGTCCAGCAGGAGGGCTATCCTTGAAGTGGGCTGGCTTCCTACAGCCTCTTAGGGTGCATCTTCCTCAGACTTTGCAGCAGGAGCCACTGAACTGAGTCTTGTGTTCTATCACTTTGCCTCCAGGCCCTGGGTGTGATCTCTGGTCAGGGAACAGGTCTGCAGACACTGTGAAGAGGAAAAGTCTCTAAACTTTCCTTTCCAGGGTGTTTCTCGCTGTATTTGATGAACACAGAGATTAGTGCCCTACTCATATTTTGGCATGAAATTATTTTTTCCAAACCTCTTTGAGCTCAGCAGACTGAACAGATTTTTTTCCTAAGGGTTTATTTTTGCAATTGTCCTGCTATTTCCCCTTCCTGGCACAGGGCAGACTGTGAACCCTGGTGTTAAGACAGGGGCATCCGTTTACTGCTCTGATAGTCCCAGAAGAGGAGGTTGTCTTTGCTCCTGAGGAATGATCTCTGCCAGAACCAGGTCTTTTTCTCCATCTTGGTTTTGGAAATGAGGGAGCACAGGCTTGTCTGTGAGCCGCTGTCCACCCAGGGCATCTCCACTTGTAAAGGGGTAGCTGTTCTGATTATCAGAAGGATTATGTTGCTGTACTAGGAAAGTTTTGTGCTTTGCACGTCCTTGGGTTTTAGCAGAGAAGTGTTCATCTCCCCTTTCAGCCAGCTGCCTAAGAAACTCAGATCTTCCTAGATGTAAACCCCATAATTTATAGGGAAAAATAATTTATTTTCATATTTATGCACATATGTATCACCAGTTCAAAACCGATGAATTCAAACTGGAGGAAGTTCAGAGAAGGATAAGGGAAGCTGGGGTGATCAGGGAATGATGTGCTTCCATAACAGGAAGCTAAAGGAGCATTTTTTCTTTCCCTTTTAATTCTTTTGCCTTGCAACCCAAAAGCTGTGATTGCTCCTTGCAAACATTTCATTGGAATAAGTGCCAGCTTTGAAGTGCTATTTTAGTCCAACAGCTTATAAGCCTTTGTTTTGGAGAAGTCTGTAGGACTGTGCTGCCTGAGAGCCGGGGAATATCCCATGCACTCATTGGAGAGACAGTACTGCTGATGGGAAGACCATATCTCTCTTCTAAAAACAAAGCTGAATGACAGTTAACCTTACAGAAGAGCCATGATCATGGTGTGACTTCCATGGGAGGGGATGGATTACCTCAAGCATCAGCTGTTGAAACTGGGATCAGAATTGCTCCCATGAGAACAGTGATATTTTTCTGTTTCTCCCTAGCAAAACATGTCTGTTTTCACATGAGCTGGGGTGCAGGCAAAATTGGTAGTTTTTCAGGATAGGTATGGTTTAACAAGGCAGGTTACATCCTCTGAATTTCTTGGAGATAAAGGGTCTTTATGCAGATGTTCTTTATACAAGTAACCAGGGATGTAAGTAAAACTTGGCTGTGGATATCATGTCAGATGCACAAACACTGTTAGAGGAAACCAGTTCCTAGATGATCAAACCTTATAAACCTATTCAAGCTGAAGTGGGGAAGCACAATTCTTAGATAAGCAGCAGTAATATTTCTCTGTAAAAGATGCCCAAAATCGTTTACACTGAGGTTAACCTACAATGAACATTGACGAAACGGAGAGGAATGGGGACACTTTCTGTTCATGGTGTGTGTGGGAAGAAATAAGGATCATGCCTTGGTGATGCCTGATAAATGTGGAATGTGTCTGCTCACTGGCTTGATCCCAAAGCAACTTAACTCAGGAATGTAGCTTTGTACCTTGAGGATGGGAATGGCCGAGTACTATCCATGAACCAAACAGAAATAGGGAACGTGGAGAACTCATCTACACAAATAAACTTACCTGAAGGTGTGTGCTTCCAGTCAATGGCAAGAGCAGTCATTGCTTCAGCTTCACCTGCAAAAGCCCAGCCTAGGGGCACTGTAGAAGGAAGAGGACAGATATAAAGCCTGAGCCAGGGCTTTTGGAAAGCTCCACTGGGTTTTAGTTCTTGCTGCAAGGGACAGCCTGCTCTTCAGAGTAACTTGGTTTTGAACATCTCTGGGCAGAGTTTGGCAGGGGAGCAGCTCCCTACAGAGAAGACAGCCCAAGACTGGCTCTGCAGACATAAAGCCCGGGTGCCTTTTGGAACTCACATTCAGATCTGATAGGAAATGTCAGAATCATAGAATATCACTAATGTTATCAAATAGGGAAAACAAATAAATTAATCTAGCAGCCATCAGCATAAGTTACAGCAAAGGTGATGCTGTACAAAAAAAAATTGCTAGAAAACAGTATGCACCATACTCTTTCTCCAAACCAGTAAATGTTACTGCATACAATGCAAATGTAAAACAGAGCAATTTCCTGCAGGTACAGAAATGAAACTTCTTTTCTCAATACTGTGGATAAACAATTATTTTTTCCTTGTAATAGTAATGTTTATATCGACCTATTACAGAGTGGGCCAGGAGAACATTAATGAATTGAGGGGTGAAGAGTACTCAAGGTCTGATCAGAAATTGTTACTTCAGCCAAAATAGAGGAGAAAAAAAGAAAAAAAAATAGATAAAGATGGAACACAGAAGTACAAGACAAAAGCGAATGAGACTTCTCACAAATCTTAGCAACACTTAGATGGAAATCTAAATGTAGTCCACTCTGCTTTTGAAGAGGCTTTTGTTCAGCTCCCAGATCTCGATTGCTTGACGCAGCCTCCTATGAAAGAATACTCAGAAGATGTCTTAAACAACACACCTATTTTTAGTGGTGGAGCCACTCTTAGTAGCTGTGTCTGCATGGGACTGATAACCAATCACTATCTTTGGAGGAAGTCCTAATCTTCCTTTGTATACTCTCCCTATATGTGTAACAGCATCCCTGTTTTCACATTCAGTTGTCCATATTGCTATTTCATCACCCTTAGTTCTAACATTAACAACAGCCCCACATACATCATCACTGTAGCCACCAAATGACTCCCCAATAAGGCACAGCGGTGTCTCTAGCCAGAAGCGATCGAGGTCACTTCGCCTCTGCTTTTTGCTCAGTGTAGTTAGCCATCGTCCTCCTTGCTTGTTCTTTTCATCTTCCAACATGGGTTCAATCCTGTCCTTAAAGAGCGAGCAGTCACAACCAGGCATTAAATTACTAGGGAGCTGGATACGGTTGTATAAAGCTCAAAAGTCTTCGACAGTATCAAACCTTGAGATAAGACGAAGATTTGCTTGCCAAGTTTTGCTCTTGTCACTTTTAAAAAACTAGAGTGCCCATCTGTTTTGTAGTGGATGCTTAATATACTGCTCAGGGCTGGCAACCTCCTGACTAGGTGCTGCTGGCTCAGTTTTCTCCTCTTCTGAAGGCTGAGGTTTGGAAGTGGTTTCTGGTTCCACCGCTGCCATCTTACATCGGCCTGTGGAAATGTTTTACCACAACAGACATTGAGTATGAAAAACATATTTATTTTTACATAATTTCCCATGAGGGAAATAACTGTGAATAGAAAAACTTCTCAAAGTTAATTTCAGAGCTGTATTTATTTGTATGATTTTTGCAGCACTTCCTATCGCTGTGTATTGCTGTTATTAACAACATGTGCAATTGTGTCAAGCTGTGGCTTGACATGCCTAGGAGATACTGTTTTCTAGTAAAGGGAATTATATGTGACAGCCAGTCACTGTCAGACTAGTTTTTAAAATAAAAACAAGTAACTATTTCAGCTGCTTTATTTGGCATGCTGATATTCATCAAAATATTGTGAACTGCAATTACAAAAACCAGGATACGAAGTGATTCAAAATTCTAACCCAAATCTGAAAAATAAACAAACCCCTAAGCTTTCCAAAATGAATAAGAAACAATTTCTACAGCTAATATATTTGGAAAAAAGCACACTTTCATTCTGAAGCTGAGTGAAAGCAAACATGAGAAGGTGTAGATGCTTCTTGAGAAATAATCTGTTGCAAGGCACTTCTGAGATGTGTTGAGTCCCCACCCCTTGCCCAAAGCCAAAGCAATTGGTGAGACATCAATGGGAGGAGGTGAAGGAAAACCAGGACAAGTATTATTGCAAGAAGCGGGGAAGGTGATAGAGATAGCCTCTATCCCTCCCCAGAATAACCCAAAAGGGAATAATTTCTGTTATAAGTTTACATAGCATTTCTTCCATGCCTGTGTCCTAAGAGTGCTGTTTGAACACGAGTGTTGTACGCACTCTGAGGCGTCCTTTTGAGCTCTCATTTCATGTTTTCTCTCTCCTTAAGGTGATAATATCGAATACTGCTTTAGAAAAACGTCAGGATATAATACTGAATATTATGTTAATATTACTGGGCCTCAGGCAGAAGTAATTCCAGCTCACCCTCAAGGTTTCTGATTTCAGACCTTGTATCTGCTCTATGAAAATGAAGGTATGTCAGTACCTCACCTAAGTAAGTATTTTGTTAGTGATGACAGAAAAGAAATAATTTTGCATTAATACCAGGAGCATCTGAAATGTTTTACCTGTGTGAGAAATTCCAGTTGCCACGTGGTGTTTGTTCAGTGCTAGCAGAATGCTGAGCTCCCCACCAGGCACCAAAGATGCAGTCCAATGACCACAAAAGTGTATTTCTTGCATTTCATTTCTTCAGGAGGAAGGAGGATTCTTGTTCTTGGGGCAAAAAAACATAATAAAGAAGATCTCTATTTAATAATGAAGGAACAAGCAGGCCAGAATAGGGCTAAACTCGTTTATGGTGGTGTCTCTGAATGGTTTTGCTGCAGGTTTTTTTTTAAGTAAATCCCTCCTATTCAGTGAAAGCTCCTCCGTTTCAGAGGCGAAAATGCATGTGATCGCCAGCATAAATCCTCCCCAGCCACAGCAGCCAGAGAGGCTCCATAGAAAAGGGGCATCTACACGTGAAAAGAAGTGAGGGTTTGGAGCATGGAGCCCTGGAGAGCCCCTCCTTTGAGTCAGTAATAAAAACCACATTTGTTTGCCAGGCAGCTGAGCATGTTCCTGCTCCAAGCAGGGCTTGGCTGTGACCTTCCCCTTGCCCGTTTTCATCCCACTGGGTTCTCACGGCTCCTCCTTTCCCAGCCACGCTTGCTGCACCCTGCCAGGCTCTGGCTGCAGTTCAGGGCAGGGATGGGCTTTGGTTTCATGTGCAGAGCAGCAGGAGCACCGGCACCAGGCAGGTTGCAGTGTTAGGTTGACACTTGGGTAGTGAGGGTTCTGCTTCTGTCTCTGTCCCCAGCCAGCTGTGAAAAGTAGATCTCTGGGCAGTGTGAGCCTCAGACCTGTTGTACAGCTCATCCCTTCACCCACGTATCCTCTGATCCATAGCGAATGTTGACTTCCTGGGTTAAGATCCCTGGCTTTGGTTTCGGGTACAGCTCACTCAGTGCAGCTCTCTTGCCAGCAAGGCATTACTGTATTATGAATGTGAGATCTGGTGATATCACCACTGTAAAAAATAATCCTGCTCTCTTTAACCCAGTGGTAGGGACTCTACCCAGGTGCACCACATATAAATTGAGAAACTTGTTCCATGGTTCCTTTACCTCTCATGATTGAAAAAAGCAGCAATTATTGCTTTAAGGTATAAGGACATTTTGCCTATTGGCTTGTGAAATCACCTCCCTAGGAACACCAGTTGTAGTTGCCCAGTATAATAGACATATAACTTGCCTTCTCCCATGGGGTTGCCTTTCAATGAACGCCCTCTTTTTTTGAGGGGAAGATAGAGATACTGACACACTGTGGTGGGTTTCAGTTATTTGTGCACACGGAGTAATGGTCTAGCAAAGACCTGAGAAAGGATCAGGATTCTCTGCTAGTGAAGGGATGGGGTGATCTCCTGGGTGCTGGATGCAAGGTGGCACTTTGTGCCACTGCTGAGAAGCGATACCAGAAGCTGGGTCATGCAGTGATGATGAGATGCCCAAAAGTAAGGTCAATAGAATCAGGGGGGAGATGGGATAGGAGGAGCTGGAAGGAGACACATCATGAGATTTGAAACAAGAAACATGCTGCAACTGGTGGAGGTCTTTTGAGACTGCTTATAGTCTATTGCAGGAGAGAACTGAATTACAGTCACAGGAAGGTCAGGTATGTGCCCTTGGGAGCAGAATAACTGTTTTTCAGCTTTCGCAATGTGGTATTGGTAAGGTTAATAGCTTTGCTAAGAACCACTCTACAAAGAAAGCTGGGGAGGTGAGTCTAGCCCCTGGATGCCACTCTGCAGCTGGTCCAGAGCAGCGTTCATGCTCCTGAGGTCACTTGCTTAAAGGGTGGAGTGGAGATTATTATTTCTACACAGTTTATGTTGTCTCTGTTCTGTTGTCAGGCTTAGTTACGCTGGCAGTCTCCCTGACTGGGCTGTGTTCCTTACATGCATGAGGTATCAGGGCCTAGTTTGTATATGACTTGGCAAAACCAGGCAGATCTTAACCTCCTCTTTCTTGGAGCTTCAAGACTTAGTACCTACGAAACCTTTCCAACAGCCTGCTGAAAGCATTGCTCTTGGCACATGCTCCTTAGCATAAACCAGAAACTAATTTCCAGGCTGTCTGACCAGTCTTGTATCTAACCTCTTGCAGGACTTTTCCATGCAGCAGTCCTAAGCTGGTGGGCTAGCCAGTTACATTTATAGCTGATTTTTGGCATGGGTTTAATTTGATTAAATACAGATGTTATTCTGTGGTTCAGCTCCTAAATCTGTCTGCTTGAGAAAACAGCCACTTTCCCAGTGAGTTGGTCTCAGTGGTTAGACCAAGAACTGGGCACTAAGCCATATTTATGTACACTGAGTTTCCACTGATGAATAATCTAAAATAGTTTTCAGTGGCAGTGGAATGATAACTTGGAGCACAAATCCCATTCCTTCTTTCCAGTAATTTGTGACTGGAGTTTGAAAAAGCCGAAAGTTTGAGTTGCTTGGAGATAACAAAAAAATCTTAAGAAATGAAAAATCTTTTCATCTGATAGCCCTTCAGGTTTCCCCTCCCTTTTTCCTCAATGCTTTCAGAATCAACAGGGCATGATAAGACATGCATGCCTGGATCTACAGCCAAATTACCCCAAGCTGTGGTTCCCAGGTGAAGCTGGTGCAATGCTTGACTTTTACTAATTTTTTGTTTATTGTGATCATCCAAGAGGCTTTATTTCAGTCCGAACAGTTCCAGAAACAAACAAGAGTTGTCTGTCATGATAGTTGAGAACTGTTGGTTTAGGAGGCACAACAGTAGGATAGAACCACTGAGGCAACATTGCCCTGTGCGTGTGGTCAGTGGTGGTTCTCCTTTGGTTTAGCCTGACGACATGCTTCCTGATGTTGTTGGATGAGGTGCCCTTTGCAATTCACCGTGGTGGTTCTTGTTTTAACCAAAGGTATTGGATGTTATCCAGTAAGGAAAATGAAAATTCCTTGTATTTTGGCCTTCTTTACACTGCCTCTGAGGGAAATGGATGGCTACAGCAGGCCAGAGACTTCATACAGTTTTGAACCAGGTTCACAGCTGGAGCCTTCAGAAATGGGCTGTCTTAGAAAACCTGCCCTTGGGTACTGTATGATCAGTCACAGTTTGAGTAAGTTTCATTTGCTGTTGTTGTTAAGATCCCTGCTTAACGTGAACTGCTTCATGTTTCTGTGCTATCCCTAAAGTCTTTGCAGCTATTTGTGTGTCCCACATAAAAGCCATTCCTCTTGGAGAGTGCATCTCTCCCCACGGTGACAAGCCAGGCTGCTTTCCTCACCAGAGCAGATATACACGTTCTTTGTTTCTGGGAGCATGTGAGAGCCTTGAATTCTAATGCATGTGTTAAGTGTCTCTTCCATGGCGACGTGCACTCTGGAGCAGGCTAAGGAAGGAGGATGGCTCCTCACTGCCCCAGTGAGCTGGGAAGAGCAAAGTTGCTCGGGCATATCCAGCCGCTGCCAGTAGCACATGGATTTCTGTTTCTGCGAGCAGTCCCCTTGAGGGCTGCCCTGCTTACAGAAAACAGAAAGTCATTGAGGACCTTAAAGCCTTTCAGAAGCTGATGCATGATGCCAAGGCTCTGCCATGCCCTGTGTCTCATGTGCTGGCAAGGGAATAGGTACCCAAAGGGCTCTAGCCTAGATTAGCAGTTCTGGATGCCTTTGTGCCTCTCTGTCAGTCATGCATTTCTGTAGCTCATTCTGGTGAGGCAGTTGGGCAGGCCTGCTGGCTGGGAGCAACATGGACGGTGGTGTTGTCCCCTGTGAGAACCAGCCTTTCATTTCATCTCATTGCCGCAGGTTTTTGGTTTGCCTGTGCTACTCCACTTAAGAGCATGGTGCATGCAAACAGCTTTGCCTCTGCCTGGACTCTGTGAATGTGCCTCTCTAGCCTGGTAGGTTTTCAAGCTTTGTCATCTATCCCTATTTACATTAAAGCTGTTTATCT